ATGTATTTCCATGCAGAATGGTGGGTTTTGCACATTCTCTGCTATATTCTGGCTTCAAATTACTCCTAATCAATCCATTCTCAGTATTGAGGTCCACAGGGCTGCAGTGTGCTGCACCAGCAAAGAACTTCTGTCAGTAATGGTGACTTAATTAAATACTTCAAAGACATCTGCAGTGACATTTATTCACCTCTTCTCGCAGTTTTCCCAGACTTTTTGGTAAACCTGTTGATATTTTTATTTCTCTGGATAGCCTTCCTATTGCTGCATGTCTGCAGTTTATCATCTGAGAAAAGAAGAAATTGCAATGACAGAACTAGACCTTGTTATGCTATGAGTGATATTACACACAGCCCAGCACTTCTGGAGGGAATCTTGAATGCTGGTGCTTTATATACATGATAAACAAGCAGAATTTGGTTTGTATTTGAGATAATTTATGGTATAGGCTGCTTCACGTGTAGCTGCTGCCGTGCTGTTCTCTCATGCCAAGATTCATTACCCTTAATGCATTGGCTAACATCTCTGGGACTTCTCTGAAGGTCTGCTAAAGCGCCCTCAAAGAAAAGGATACAGATTATAGCTTCATAGGTTTTTCATAAATGTTTTAGACATTTGGAACATGTCATCAAATTTTTTCAAAAGGTACATAAGGAATGCATAGTACTAAGTATTTTCTTATTTCTACTTATTTTTGGGGTAATGAATTTTCTGCTTATTGAAGCATATTTTTCCTGTTGTTCTTTGCCTGTTGATTTACAAAGAACAGTTACCATATTGCTCAGTAGAAGCAGCATTAAGTAGCACTCAATATCTATTCCATATAAACCTGCCTCCCTAAAATTGTGACTTGTGCTTGTGGAGCAAGGAGATAAAATGGAGGTAAAAGCCTATTGGATTAGTATGACACCTTCTAGATCCACTTAGCAATTCTTTTGCAGAGGGATAAATGATAGGGGAAGGGTAAACTGGGTAAACTGGGAGATTCATGCTGTAGGTACCAGTACACTAAAAAATATGCACTCCAATTACAAAAAAAATGAGCTTAGTTCTGAGCTACTATGCAGTTGAGGCTTAATACACATTGCCAGTGGGACCTGCCTAGAAAACAATTCTAAATATTTCTATAGACAGTGCATTTGGAGGCTGATTTGTGTCAGATTTTGACTTCATATTGAGAAGTGTGTGGGGCAGCCAGCAACAATTCTTGCCTCTTCTGCCACAGGGAACTGACACACCATCCTGAAGGGATCTGACATGGAGTTCTGTGAAGGTGATGGAACAACAGAGAACTGGAGAAGAGGCTACAGGTTGAGGCTACATGGTCTCTTCTATCTGCATGATGCCCCAAGTGTGAGTAAGGAGAATCTCCTGAGGTTGGACGCAGGGCCGTGGGTGGATGGTGGCACAGGGACAAGCAGGGCCACATAAGGATGGCAGGGAGATGGCAGAGAGATGGCAAGTCTGCATCTTGTCTGCTTCATTCAGCGATGAGAACACCATTGTGTCCAGCCCACTCCCCTGCTCTGCTGGCCCCACGCATGGCCATGCACTTCTGATACAGTGCCCCTGCTGGCACAGAGCACTTTCCCTGAGCCTGCTGTCACTGTAGCGTGACTGAACCTATTGCAAATCCCAGCTGGACATCACCTTCAGGATCTGTACCTGTAGTGCTCTTTGCGTCTGGGACAAATAAAATGCTGCACCCCTTGGAGGCACTTTGTGCTCTCTGGTCATTTGTTTTCCACATGGAATTCCTGCTTTCCCAGGGAAATGGTGGCATGTAACATTTCCTCAAACACTGAAGCCTGAATGAGCACCTACCAGGGTAGGTAGGGTACTTCATCATGGGTTTCTCTGCGGTCAGTCACAACAACCTGAACCTTCCTTGAAACTCAATCAAACCAAACCAGGTCCCCTCTCAACAGCTAATCAAACTCTTTGGAACACTGATACAGGTTTCCAGCAATTCTTACTTAATTGCCCTTTTCATCCACTTTGACAACATACTATAGTAAAAATACCAATTATTATTCTTACTATATTCATCTGAAAGAGTAAATAGCATTAGAAATATGCCCATAGTGTATTTCCCCGAAGCTGAGGCCAGGAATTACTGGAAATATAAAACCAAGTTCTATTCCTACAAAATTTCCAGACCAAAGTTATTTAGATACACTAAGTTGCAACTTACAGATTTTTATATTAAAAATCTAGATCAGCTGCAATGTATGGATTTTACTAAAAGAAAACAAAAAGGTATATTTAAAAATTAATTATGTATGCTTGTAAGTATGTGTAAGTGAACACCCTTAAAATCTGTATAAAGATCAGATTTATAGAGTAAAATTCAATAATATTTTACAAAGCAATAAAAGTATGTGTAGATTCTCATGAAAAACATCAATATATTTTAGTTTTAATAATGACAGCGTTTAATAAATAAGATCCAGTTATCAGCTTCATGGATAATGCAACATAAAATATTTTCTCACATACCTATGCATTTCATTTTTATTTTTACCAATCTTCTCAATTTGCTTTTACTATTTCTCCTTTTTTTGTTTTGTTGTTGTTGTTGTTGTTTTTTTAACAATAGACCTTGGCAAATCGTTTTACTCCTTTTTCTTTGAATTTCAGGATGAGTAGTTTCATGCAGAAAGGTTATTTATTTTAGAAAGCATGCCTGGCAGGAAAAAGGGTGTAGTTTGTTTCAGTGATTTTTGCATAGAGTATGACATAATTATTTTTATATCTCTTGGCTGAAAAAGAACCTTGCAATCTACTGGCCTTGAAAGCTGTTGTCTTGGTATTTTCCTATATTTATTCTGGAAATGCAATCAATGCAAACAGATATAAAATAATCCAGTTTATTTCACTGGATCCTCTGTTATACCAGAGGATATATACCAGAGGATATATACCAGACTGATAGCTTTTATCTGCTACTCAACATCAAATGGTGGCACACTACTTAAAGGAAAAATTTATTTTTCAGAGATGAGGCTGTCTTTTCCTCCAGGCTCCATGGGGTACAACTGCCCTAGAAGTGGGTATCACTGATTCTGCATACCTTACATGTGATCTTCAGATTAGCACAGAAATTTTTCTCCTTTGCTACAATCACCATCTTTAAAGAAACTCCCCATTTCTATTTTTCCTCCTCTGAGCTGTGAGGAGGAGCTCAGTAGCTCTAGAGTGGCCAGACATCCGTCCATGTTTATGTAAGTACAAAGTATTTGGAGCGAATGCTGCAGTGTGGGATTAGTGGTGGGTTTTAAAACGTACCCAGGTGCTGAAGCAGGAGGTGTTTGTTACTGCCCATTTAGTAAAGCACTGGCAGGATCCCTGTTGACCTTCTGTGTGTGACACTGGGAGCAGTCCCTGCTGTACAGGAGGATCAGCCTCTTCAATTGTTTTTTCCCTTCTTGCCTTGGTGCTGTATTTGGGAGCATACATTAAGTTAAATCTTGTATTGGCTCACTCAGCTGGTGCCACTCTGCCTCCCCAGAGCCAGAAGGACAAGCGGACAAGTCGTTTTCTGCTTTATTAAGAGATTTGAAGGTCAGAGCATCAAAATGGTAATTTCAATCAGAGCCAGTCTGGTTGCTCAGCAGACTAGCAGAGCTACTGTAGGTTGCAGATCTTAATGCATGCAGTGACTGTGATCTAATTCTGAGCACTGCTTCTTGGGTCAGATCTGGTTGAGTCAAATTGTGATGCACTAGCCCATCGGGTCATTCCTGAGAGGCTGCCTCCCACCTAGGTGGCAGCAAATAAAATACAAAGAAGAAAGGAAATGGAGACCTTTCTTTGCTGAACAAGCACAAATTCCTGCATTAAGAATTAGCACTTTGAAAATAATCCACTGTTCCCTTTTGTGTAATCTCAGCAGACATACTAAATTCAGTGTCAAAGCCTCTGCAGGTACTGTCAAGTACCAGACATAGGCACTCCTTGCAAATGGATGGGAGTAGAAAGCAGGGACTGAAAGAAAGAAAATAGATTAATTTCTTATTGTCTCTCAATTAATCCTTGTAGTGCCAAATGGCATAATGTTGATTACAACAGGACATTGTCAGGAAGTCACTGTTTTATCCAAAAAGGAGAGAGGGATTGCAATGGCTTGTTTTCAGGTGTAAATATAACACTTTTCCCTGACAGTATAATAACTAATGAGGATTTGTACACCCTTGAAGGAATAGCAGCATTTTTTAAACAAATATACATGAGTTTTAGACCCCCACTACAGCCCTCCCCAGATGCATAGGTCTCTGCCCAGCCCCAGCACACCAAAAACAGCAGAACCAGCAATTATGTAGTAACTGTGAGTAACATTTTTCAGACACTGTGGGTACTGTATTAGAAGAAAAAAAACCCCAAGCAAACAGATTAGGAAAATGGAAGTATAGCACAGCACTTAATCACATAGTTGTCTCATTTAAATCACTGGGTCAAGTCATTTTTGTGTAGTTATGCATGTTTTTAAGACATACTTGGTATGTCATGAGACTGTGTAATCTTATAATTGCAGCTATTCATTTCCCTTATGTTTGCCCTACCTTTGGAGGAAGGAATGCTCCTCTTTTACTGGTCATGGGTAGCTGGTGTACGAGGTGTGGGCCTATTAGCAGCAGCTGGTAAGCCCTGCAATAGGATGTACAGCCACAGAGTCTTAGTTTAAAAATAACTACTTATTGCTGAAGAGATGGTAAATTACAGAAGTTGCTTGACTCCATTAATACTACAGCAACCCTACAGTAGACAATGAAAGCAGCAGGGCAAGTGGCCTGCTAACTTCCCTGTACTCTGCAAAAGTTGAAACCAGTGGAAGCCAGAGCAGGTAGGCACAATTACAAATGGGGAGCTCTGGCAAAGATGGAGTGCAGGTGGTGGGAGAACAGTAGTAAAATGATGTGTTTTATGTTACTGGTGTCCTGTCTTTTATTTACTTTAGTCTGCTGGCAGGATGTTTGTCTGTAAACATTACCACAAAACACTTAAACAGGAATAAAAGTAACTTTTATTGAAGGAATTTAAAAGTAGTTTCTGGAAAACATGCAAGAAACACCATGTGGACTCCACATCTTCTTCAAAGTAGAGTGAACACAGCAGGGATCCGCTACTGTCACCAAAACCAAATCAAAATTGCACCATTTAATATTTATGTAATTGAAAGTACAAATCCAGTTTGCTGCCTGAAAGTACCTCTCATGACAGCAAAAAACTCATCTTCTCAATCTTGTAATAACATCAAATTAATCCTGTAGTTTTGGCATAAACCAGCAACATCAGGAAAAGAGGGCTTACCACATATTCCAAAATACAACTTTCCATTCTTTAAACTAATTAGAGAGGCAGCCAGTAGCACCACTATGGTTCTGTCAGCATTTCCACAATAAAACCCCCTTTTCAGGGCTTTATAACTTGGCTGTAAAAAATTAGCTTCAGGCTGAAGCTTGGCATACCGTGGTTCACCCCAGCAGCAGATCAAGCTGTGCATGTGGTTATGTGTGTGGTTTGTTGATTGTTTCCTAAATACAAATTTTAATTAAAATTAATTTTGCTGCTTCTTGGAAGACAATGATAAAATAAACAAATTTTTAAATAAAGTTACATTATTTGGCAGGCTCTTGCGGCAAGTTGTTAAAAGTATGGAAGTTTGAGTACAGCAAAGAGTACAGCCTTGTGATGCTTTTTTGTGTTTGAAATTAAATCATCAAGGGAAGTTTGAAAGCAGGTTATTGCACTTGAATAATGCACCAAGCAGCTTTGACAGAAAAATTCTCCACGAAAGCAACTCTCATGAGGGCACATAGTCCCTGAAGCCCTTGGAATAGCTGTGCCAAAGGGAGGATCCACGTCCAGGCCACTAAATACTCACATGAAGCAGCAATCAGTACCCTTTTCCACTTTGCATGTAGCAGTGACAATGTCAGTCTTTCCCAGAGAAAAAACTGAGTCATCTCCTCCAGCTGTGGGTGGCAAACTGCTGTTTGTTGAATTTCCATATTATGGATGATCTCAGTGCATTATTAGTTCATAAGTGTTCACATAACTCGTTATATTCACACATTTTGCACTGAGCTGACTAGCATAAATAATCCTGATTGTAAATGTTTCTGTTTCAGCTTCACTCTGGTCTGTAAGAATGCCCAAGAAGTCAAGACACTACCATGCACCTGGAAACACTGCAGCATACACAGAGAAGTAGAAGTACCTAAAAGCAAATCAGAAAGACTGGTAAGAAGAGCAAAGCTGACTAATTCTTTTTTCAGGGGAGTTTCTTAATTTTGATACAGTTGCATGTTTTGTTATTTGTCTTCAGCATTTTTAAAAGTTAATAATAGTTGATTGTTAAATAAAAATTGGTAAAATATGCAAGCCTTTGAAGCTAAATTTGCTTCTTCCAAAGAAGCAAAGAAAAAGACTCTAAAAGCACATAAGAGATGGAGAATGTCATCAATATGCAGTAACATGCTCTCCAAATCATTCTTCAATATAAGTGTCACGAAGAAAACTAACAATCCACATCCAGTATTCCTCGATCAATGAACAGTTGAAGATGAAAATTAATATTATAGAGTAGAATAACCAATTATAAGCCAATTCAAAAGTCTATTCATCACGGACTCATTTTTGCAATGGGTGGATGAGACTTGAAAGGGAGAGAAAGTGAGTGAGTAAGCAGCAGTGAGCCAACTCACCAGCTTCCCAAGCACAGAGCTTTGTCACACCCCCAAAATGCTGATGAACAGTGAAATATTTGGGCACAGCCCATCTTCCCAGCTACAAAGAATCAGCTAAGAGCTGCCTCTCATGCAGAGGTAGGCTCAGGTTCTCCATTAGATCAACGAAATTTTGTTCCAGCTTTAATTTTCTCCCAGAGTAGCTGCCAGGATATCCTTGAACACATAAACCCAATTAAGCCAAGCTAAACTGATCATTAGGCTTTCAAGTATGTGTCTGCTGAAATTTTATAAGGCTGTAGTCTGCTTAAAGTTTCACCTCCTGCAGCCACTCACAGTTGACCCTGGGAGTTCACTGAAACAACAGAGGCTCCTAAATTTCTGGGAGAGACTTTGAGTTGTCTCAGAATTAGAGAGGCTGTCCAGATCACTCTGGCTCACAGGAGAATTGTTCCAAATTTCTTTTTAATTCCTTTACTCCTTCCAGCTGCTGAGATGGCACCCACTCAGAACAGCTGGTGTGACTCCGACCTGACCTACACCTGTGGGCAACCAAAGAGTGTGCAAATGGAAAAGCACGTGAAGCAGATGTAGGAGATATGTATGTGCTTCTTCAGGCACCATTTGTCACCTTGTGGAGTGGTTAAAATTTTCTGATTTATTCTCCCTTTCCAAAAATGATCATGATCAGGCTGTGACCATGGAGATTTCATTCAGCAAGTGCTAGTACACAGTGGAAAGTAAAGAGAATCTAGTGCTTAGTGTCCCACTTCACCTCCCCACCCCAGTTCCAGCTTATATAGGAAGCTCAACTTCACACAAACTCCTCTAGTTCTTCAGAACACGCTGGCCAAGTACCCAGTAATACCAAATAAACTGAATTTGCTGACTGAAGAAAGTATGCATGGCTCCCTAATTCTGCTGCATTCCACTGACCTTACTCACCATGGTTGTGACCATGTTGTCAGAAGCCAGTTTCACTGATCCAGGCTAAGAAATCAACATCAGCTCATCTGAGCTTTGTTTTCTTGCAAGGTTAGTTAATACTTAAATAGACTGCAGGGCTAGGTGAGCAGACATATAGGAGAACACCAGAGGGATTTTATACACAGCCATGGGCCAACCCCAAGGCCACAGCCAGTGTCTGTCCATCCTCATGTTCACTTTTCCCTGTCTTATTAGACATTGTGAGCATCCTCTCTCTTTAAGTGCTGTGTTTCTCCATCCTTTAGTAGGTCTTCTGTGATAGTAAGTATCTCAGGTACAGTTTTGCTTAAGAAGTGTTCACTCCCTTTGATTCCCTTCTGAGAGTACTCAACAGCTGTCTGGCTTAAGTTCTGTTTTCTTAAATTTGGGGATGTGCTGACTAAACTACATGACGAGCCAAATGCACAACTTTATTTAACATATCCCAATAGAAAAAAAACCCAATATTTTTACATGCAAAAATTCATGTATAGGAAGTAGAGGAACATAATAGCGTAATATTTCATAGATCAGGAGGACTTTCAGGCCATCAATATCCAAGCCATTGTGCTGTCATTGCCCTAGGACTGTATGGCCTCTACAGCTTTATGTGCTCAATAAGCAATTCCAAATATTTAAAGATATCCTTTGCCTATTTAGAATCCCTCTGCTTGTTTTATTCTTTTTCTGAAAGGCACCACCAGGCTCCTTTTTCCTGGCAGTTTTGATTTCTGTATTTCTAAAAGAATCTCCTCTATGATTTCTGCAACGTTGCATACAACCCAACTGAACGGGAATCCAAGGTCTGCTGCCAGTGACTGCTGAGAACACAGGAGGGTGAGGGAAGACAAAACTCCAGCTAGATAGTGCATAATTCTGACTGCTGAAAGAAATACATCCTGAGGGCTGAAATCAGAGGTGGCATAAAGAGGTAAGTCAGGGCAAGTATCTGTACCATAACTAGTCTGAATTAAATGATCAAAACTAAAGATGGATTCAGGTATAATGAAAAGGGAAATACAACAAATGATAGCAAAAAATACATTCCTATTGCATTCAATTATCAGAGAGTGTGTACCTCAGGCTGACCCTGATACATGGTGGTTACATTATGACTTCTGTCACTGCCTGTGACTGGTCTTGCACCATGGCAGAGGTTGAAAAAACAGGAAGGAAGAGTGGAAATTTTTCAAATGTATATTTTTGTATTTAAAAAAACCTATAATGATCTTTATAAAAGTCTAAAATTTAAAAATAATTTAAAATAATTATATGGAGGTTATATGTGTATATTTGTAAGTAATATGACTGTAGTTAATAATAATGCCTACGGTACTACACTTAGCTATTATTTCCTTGGCTTCCTTTCTTAAGCTAAAGCCAACTTGGTGGTTTGTACCATTCTGTCAGCCAACAGGAGAGAGCAGTGAACATCCCATCACAATATTGGCACTTGCTACCTTTGCTGAAACCCTGCATGATTGCACTGTACTGGTTGCATTGTCCAGAGGCCCATCACAAGTTTCCCTTCTCACTCTTGTGCTCTCCAAACACTCCCAGGTCATGCTGGCAGGGAACAGTGACTTCCGGGGAAATCAGAATGTTGCGCTAGTGATGAATTTGGTCCTTTGTAAAAAGAGACTGCTACCCTTCTTTTACCTCTTTCTCTGCAGGAGGAAATTCCTCTTCCCAATCCAATCATTCATACAAATCTCTTCATCTTTTTGTGTGAAGCTCTCAGTCTCACAATGAAGAACAAAAGCTAAATCCTACAAAACAACATAAGGAAGATGCCAGTTACAGTTAGGCAAAATTTAACACACGCTCCCATGTCTGTTAATGTTCCATGTACCATCATGCATGCAGCTAAAGGAGTAGATAGAAAAATAGGCTGGGAAATTGAAGAAAATGAAGTTCATAGCAAAGACTGTTTCCCCAAACAGAAAGACTGGGAATTGCCTTTCTTTCCCTCTAAAAGAGTTGCCCTCCTCAACTCTATCTGACAATTTGCTGCTTAGTCTCACTCTTTTAGTTATCAGCTTGCTTTTGTTACCCTGTTCATAGGAAAAGAAATCAAGCATTCAAGGCTGGAAAGCAGATAGATGAGTATCTGGCAGTGTTTCTTGAGAATAATATCCTAGAGAGCAACAACAATCTAGGTAAGGTTCAACTTTTCTTCGTGCTTGTTTCAAGGACAGTTTGGCAGTTCCATACTTTACTTATGTATGCTTTGCAGCTTATGCATAAACGCAAATTTCCTCCCCTGGGTATCATCTCACAAAGAAACAAATAATAATGGAAAAAAGTTCGAGGGAGATACTTGTAAATTATAAAAATCATATGCATCCATAGTGATACATTTTATATAAAGATCTTTGAAGCAGCCTTTTTACTCTCACGTGTGAGAAAGGCAAAATGCCTTTTCTCATAACCAGCAACTATACAGATAGTTATGCTGGAATGGGGAGGGACAAACAAACCTAACGATGACAGATCTGTACAGAGAGCTGTTAGTATGCCAGATCTTATTACAGAGCAGTGGGAGGCCTTGTATGCTACGTACCAGCTCTATAGGGACCTCCATATTTAAAATGATGAAAAAAATGTGATTTGAAAAACCCCTCATGGGCAGCCTTCAAAGGCACAGACAGGTTCTGACTGGATTAACATTTATTGACTGTTTAAGCCTGCTTTTTTGCTTCAGGACAGAGATACACGAGTTTAATTGCAGAGGCTGTTCTGCCAACTGATCACTAGAGTGGCAACCAAAGCTTTACTAATCGGTCCTTCATTAAAGAAAAGTCTCTATTACAAAACAAATTAAGCATGCTCTGATCCCAACCCGCAGGTCCAATGGCATTACAGCAAAGTTTAGGCTGCTAGAGCACCGAAAAACTTATTAAGGTTTAGCGCTGAGATAGCACTTTTGTATTGATTTTACAATACACAGGTATTATGATTTATGGAGTGCTAGTGTCACTCTAACAAGCTGAAGGACACACAATATCATCTCCAACATCATTAAAATTCAGAAGCCTCTAGAACTAACTCATCAACCACTGTGCATTGTCACAGGCTATAGAGCCGTATTCCAGTCGGAAAATGCCGTGAGTTTACCGGACAGTTGTCTTCCGGAATATTTAAATTTATAAAAAAAAAAGGGGGGGTGAGGGGAAGAGAGAGAATTCAAACCCTGCGTGTGTTTTAAAACCCTTCCGTGAATGTGCAGCTCTGTAGCAGCAGGCACTGTTCTTTACTATGGCCTGTTCGAACCGGGCTGCTCCGGCTTTGCTGCCCGCTCTAAGGCGCCGCAGAGCGCCAGGGCTTCTTGGGCGACGCAAACCCAACGGGGACCGCTCGGGGACAGCCGGCCGCTCTTCTGCCTCCGTCTTTATCCCGAATGCTTTATTTTAACGAAGTTTGGGTGCGCAGCGCTTCCCAGTCCTCCGGCCCAGGCGGCCGCTCTCGCCCTTTTCACGGAAAAGCCCAAACCCCGCGGTTCCGCATCGCGCTCCTTTCCGCACGATGTAAACACAACGCGGCGCCGCCACCTGCAGCTGCTCGGCACCCCCAGCCCGTCACA